CCCCCGTGGCCCCCACAGGGGTCCCAGCGCGTCCTGTCACTGCCATGACCACCATGGGGGTCCCACGGGGTCCTGTCACTGCCATGGCCACTATGGGGAGCACAAGCATCCCCCTTGTCACCCCCATGGTCACTGTGGGGGGTCCTGCCACCACCATGGCCACCACAGGGGTGGGATGAGCTCCTGTCACTGCCACGGCCACCATGGGGAGCACTGGCACCCCACTTGTCACCCCCATGGTCACCATGGGGGTCCTGCCACTGCCATGGCCACCATGGGAGTCTTGGGGTGTCCTGCCACTGCCACGGCCACCACGAGGGTCTCAGAGGGGTCCTGTCACTGCCATGGCCACCATGGGGGTCTTGGGTTGTCCAGTCACTGCCGTGGCCACTGCTGGGGTCCCAGAGGGGATCTGTCACCACCACGGTCACCATGGGGGTCCCATGGGGTCCTGCCACTGCCATGGCCACCATGGGTGTCCCACAGGGTCCTGTCATTGCCACAGCCACCACAGGGAGCACTGGCACCCCCTTTGTCACCCCCATGGCCACCGTGGGGAGCACTGGCACCCCACTTGTCACCCCCACTGGGTGGGGGTCCTGCCACTGCCATGGCCACTGTGGGCGTCTTGGGTTGTCCTGTCACTGCCATGGCCACCATGGAGGTCCCAGAGGGGTCCTGTCACTGCCATGGCCACCATGGGGGTCCCATCACTGCCATGGCCACCATGGGAGTCCCAGAGGGGTCCTGTCACTGCCATGGCCACCATGGGAGTCCCAGAGGGGTCCTGCCACTGCCATGGCCACCATGGGGGTCCTGCCATTGCCATGGCCACCATGGGGGTCCTAGAGGGGTCCCATCACTGCCATGGCCACCACACAGGTCTTGGTGTGTCCTGCCACTGCCATGGCCACCACGGGGCTCCCACGGGGTCCTGCCACTGCCACCACCGTGGCCACGCCCGCAGGGGTCCCGGGGGGTCCCCATGGAGCACCTGCATGACGCACGGCGTGTGGTTGGCGGGGGGGTCGAACTCCAGCAGGTCCCCGTGGGCCACGGCCACCAGGTACCAGACGACGCCGAAGGCAAACCAGGTGCCGGCGAAGGTGGCGGAGAAGAGGAGCAGTTTGTAGCGCCACTGCATGTCGATGAAGGTGGTCCACAGGTCCTTGAGGTACAGGAAGCGCTTGTCCGAGATGTGCTCCATGCGCACGTTGCTGCGCCCGTCCTTGGTCAGCACCCGGCGCCGCCGCAGCCCCGGAGCCATCAGCGGGCGGCCCTCGGTCTGCGTGGTCTGGCTGTAGTACACCTTGGTGGAGGACGTCATCTGGGGGGACAGGTGAGGGGACAGGGG